GCCCATCTAGGTCAGAGCCACTTCCTGGGCCAGACCACCTGGGGCCCCAGCTGGGGCCTCTAGTGACCCCAGTCCCGTTGGGTCCTCGCAGCCTGGCCTCCCAGCCGGACTCAGACTCGGAAGACAGGCCAGGCCGACTGGGGTCTGCAGCCGCCCTGGGCGAGCCATTCCTGAGTTCACGTGCCAGCCTGCTGGCTTCCTGGACTCGGGAACGTCAGCCCCAAAGAAAAGCGAACTCAGTCTTTTCAACTCAATTAGAACTGTCAGGGGCTTGGAGTCTAGCTAGGAAGGCAGGGTGTCTCCTCCTGCCCCCCTCAGACTCCGCCTCCTGGGGGCCTCGGACCCCCAGGATAGGAGGTAATGTGTGTTGTTTAAGCCACTAGGTTGGGGTTTGTTTGAAACCGCAGCCACAGGAAACCCCTTTTTAACTCAAAGCCTGGCCGTTTACCCCTCCCTGGGGCTGGCCACAGAGGTAATGGGAACCCTGGGGGCACAGCAGACTGCTTCGCTGGGGCACCCCCGCCCCCAGCCTGTCACCTCCCCGCTCCTGGGCACAGGACCAATGCTTCAGACCGCGCCCCTGTGTGTTCCTGGGGTGCCTTTTCTTGGCCCTCAGGAAAGAGGACTGTGGAGCCAGAGTGCGGAGTCAAGCCAGGCTCTGGGGGAGCTCTGGGGGTTCCCTCACAGGTGTGGTGACGGCTCCCCTGGCGTCGGCGTGCGGGACAGCACGGGAGGTAGTACCGGGAAGCTTTGTCGCGGTGCCTGCGATGTCACTGCCTAGCCAGTCTGCTCTTCGTGTTCCCCTTTAGGGCCGTGTCCAAGAGCCCTCCCCCAGGCTCTTCCCTCTGACCCCAGAGAGCTCTCTGTATCCCACGCACCAGGGTACACGATTCCAGCACCCATACAGCAGTGCCCTTGCCCACGGAGGTTATGTTCCAAGACCCGCTGGAAACAGGGCAGGACCAGCACCACTCCTCCTGTCCCTGGGGCCATTACTACGTGAAATAAGTGTGACTTGAACACAAGCCGTGCGATGCCCGGCGGGGGGTCTGGTAACCCAGGCGGCCCCGGGCGGGTAGTGTTTACAGGGCGGATGGCTGGGCAGAGGCGTGACTCGCTTCCTGGGTAGAACGGGGCAGGATGACACGAGATTCCAGCACACGACTCAGAATCGCGCACAATTGAAAACCAGTGCGTTGTCTATTTCTGGGCTTTTCCACTTAATACTTGTGGACCACGGTTGACTACGGGTAACTGCAACCCCAGAGAGTGAAAGCGGGGCGAGGGGGGCCTGCTGTGATGACAGGACAGTCGCTAACATTTGTGGGATTCTACTCTGTGCCAGGCACTGGGCTAAGTGTTTTGCACAGACACAAGGATAAATGTCACTATTAGTATTATTGTTTA